TGAAAAGATGTACTACATGTGCTTTTGTATATTAGAAAATCCAGAGTACAAAAACTCTGCAACTATACAGAGGGGAAAAAAGTCAGTAATGGTAAAAGTAATCACATAGTAATTATTTTGCATTCAGTAATGTAAAGCAAAAGCAATCCTATATTAGAGAGGAAAAATAAACTAAAGCCAGCCAAATATCTACAATTCCCAAACTGTAGTTCTAAAAAGATGACCACACTTACTCTATGCCCTCTCCCCCTCAAAAAAACGTAACATATTAAATCAGGTTGTCAGGCAACAAAACTGTTAACACTTGGTCAAAAGCCATTCAAAATGATGTTGCTGAATGATGTTTACTGACATAAAAAATTCCCAAATGAAAAACCTCATCTATATATGGTAGAAACATGGCAGAAAAGATGAGGAAACTGTATGACACAATACAAATAACAATTATTTTGGAAGGTGTAATCATTATGAGTGACTTTTATTTTCTTCCTTTTCTTAGCACTATATTGTGATTTCTCCAACATGTGTATTATTTTTACATTAAAAATGGAGGTCAAAAATAATTTTAAAGTATTATTTAAATTTAAAAGTTTATATATTTTTTTCTTCTACCATTATATTCTTGGTGACCCTTAACAAACAGTCCCAGGAGTATGAAATATTAATACCTGGGAACAGAGACTTCTCTTAAAATCAACACCTATTTGAATACTATCTTTCTATATAATTTTATCAATTACAGATACAACAGTATGAGGCAGAATCCCTGGATCTAGACCGCTAGGATTCAGACCCCAGCTGTATCACTGGCTACATAATTCTGAACAAATTACTAGGGTTCCTGCTAGTTACTGAACTGAGTTAATCATTTAAAACATTTAGTGCCTGGCACATGGCAAGTACTTAGCAAGATTTATTATTAATGATAACATTATTTTTTTTTAAGATTTTATTTATTTGACAGAGAGATAGAGAACACAAGTAGGCAGAGCAGCAGACAGAGGGAGAGGAAGAAGCAGACTCTCCGCCAAGAAGGGAGCCTGATGTGGGGCTCGATCCCAGCACCCTGGGATCATGACCTGAGCCGAAGGCAGCCGCTTAACCAACTGAGCCACCCAGGCGCCCCAATGATAACATTATTATTAACTCCTTTCATAGGTGAAGATGCTGAAGCACTCATCAGTCAACTCATTTGCCTTAAAACAAAGATACTGGGATTCCTGGGGGTGGGGGGAAAGATAGGAGAGGGTGACAGAGACAGACATATAAACACAGCTACATCTCCTTTCCTAAATTGCTATTTTTAATTTTTATTTTTTTAAAGATTTTATTTGACAGAGAGAGCACAAGCAGAGGGAGAGGGAGAAGCAGGCTCCCCACTGAGCAGGGAGCCCGATGCGGGGCTCAATCCCAGGACCCTGGGATCATGACCTGAGCCGAAGGCAGCCGCTTAACTGACTGAGCCACCCAGGCGTCCCTAAATTGCTATTTTTTAGAAAAGATAAACTGAAGTTACCCAGCATAATGCTCAATAAATATTTCCTTCTTTTCCCAACCTATCTCTTTGATTCTTCCTATACAGAAACAGACCTGGTTTATATTCATTCACATCCCTAAACCACCTTTCCTCCAACTTCCATTTTAAAGTTAACTACAAGTATTTGTTTTAATTCTGTTCCAACCAAGTAGCCCTACATTAGGAAATAATACCTTGGTCTTCTCCAAGTCAAGTATTTCTGTGAAATTCTACTGGTCAGAAGAGACTAGCAATTTCAAAATGCTAGAAACATAGAGAACACTCAATATACTTTGAGCGAATGTTGAGAACTCACTCTGATCCTAAATTTCCCTGAATGTTATATGCATAAAATGCCATATAGGAAAAACCCTAAGAGACCTACCTGTGTTCCGATTGAACCCAACCCCATAATTAGACCAGTAACCTGATGTCGATGATTTTGCCATTTTACTAAGAGGCTGAGCAAGCTATATTATGGATGGATCCCATCTAGCTCCACAATTCCACAGCCTCTTGGACAAACCTGAAAATGGACAATTCACAACCAAGTTCGTATCTCTATGATGTCTCCTCTGACTGAAATCTTCCAGTTCCCCACACCCTTTTAGAGAACGCTTGTTATACATCCCATTAACTATCCATCACTTCTTTCATGAAGCCTTCCTCCAGCCCAAATAAAACAAATTGCTCCGTATTCTTAGACCCCCCCCATGATTGTACTGCATCTATTACAGATGACTATTTATAAACTGTCTACCACTCTGGAGTCCCACATCTTGCACAATGCTTAGCACACAGCAGGTGCTGAGGATGTTTAAAGATTTGAATCTACAAAGTTAAATTAGGTTCCTGTGAAGTTTCCCTATGTACATTTGGGAGTTTAGCTTATTAATCTGAAGATACACAAAGGCCAATTTGCAGCACAACCAAAGCTTTGTCCCAGTCATATCTACATATGCCATACAAGTTTATTCTCAGCATTTGTACAAAAGCTACAAAAGGTATCACTGCTGCTGATTATCTGGGCATCCTCTGGAGATTACCTAATCTACCTCATCTCCCTATCCAAAAAAACCTCTTTACCCTGCTCTACTTTGTTCCATGGCACCTACATCCTCTACCATGTAATATAATTTACTGACATTCGGTGTTTATGGTCACTTACCAAAACATAAGCTGAACTAATACAGGAATTTTTGTTGGTTTTGTTCATAAATGATATCCAGTGCAAACATCAGTGCCTGGCACATTAAATGATTTTTTTAATCAATAATTCTTTCCTTCTGTCTTAAAGCCCTAAGGAGTTATGAGTCAGCACCTTCATAAACATTCCTCAGCTCCATCCACTCACAGTAGCCTTACAAGTAGGCTTCCAAGAACTAGAGGAAAATATTTATATTTATTTCCTAACCTGCAACTCTTAATTTCTCTGCTTACCTACTGGTAGAGAAATAATATTCAGAAAGCTATACCAAATAACATATATATGAAATAACCAAAACTTTGTTCTTTCACATCTGATAATAATTATTTCTATCTATGAGGTCTCCACTTTAGATTTTAAACTACTGGTGTACAAAACCCCAAACCAGGAAGGTTGGATTTACTTTTCTGTATTGTCAAGCACAACGGCTAAATATGTTGGGAATACATTAACTGCTACATGAGACCCGACTGCAAAATTGTGCTCCAAATAGTACAAACCCTCTAAGGTGCCATATATATATATTCATTATGGCAAGATTTTTCTTATATAACTAGTATGCTTCAGGAGAAATGAACTTGTCCACTGCATTTCTGTAACTATTAAATACTGAGCCATGTAAAAATAGGATACTATTCTATTTGTATTCAGAAAATACCACCAAAACCTTCTCCATCCCCTAGTTTCAGCCAAATATGGTTCTTCCCTGCTCCAACCAATTTAGCTATGAGTTCCAAGAGACATAAGCCCATCAGCAGCAGTCATGGACATCACCTACACTGCTATTTTGAAGACAGCTTTTAAACTCTTGAAGAAATCAAACATCAGCAATGTAAAATATAGTCAACATGAGAAGCTTCAAGCTGAGATACCTGGGTATCTTGATTCAATCTAAAATAGGAAACAAAGTCTTTCACGAAGTCACCCAGTCCTCTCATCTAGCACTACCTACATGACAAACTCAGAATCAACTTCTAGGATGTGCCTAAGAAAGAGATTCACAAACTCACATACGTTAGGCAGGGTGACACAAGCCAGGACTCCTGTGCATATGAGAAACAGCAATTCGGCCTGCCAGTTAGCCTTCTGTGATCACTCAGTATTGCTTGAATGCTTGAAAACGATTAATATTCTACATCTGAGCACGTGAAATTAAGAGTTAATTAAATTCTCAGGATCCAAGTGCCAACATGATGACTAAAAATTACAGGTGGGAGAATCGGACAGAACTGCTATTGTTATTGTTGTGAAGAAAAATGCTATTCTATCCACAACAGTAAAGGAGTATATGGTGCGAGTTTCAATCTCTGAGTTTTTATGAGCTTTCTAACCACCGATTTAAACATAGGTGAATCACAACGAAGCTTTCAAAAGAGGAATTCCAAGGGGGTAATGTCCTGTTTACTGACGACCTGAGGCTGGCTGCTGCCTCCATACCCCCATTTGGCCATCCCATCTTTCTGCCCATCCCCCCAAACTCGTCTACAATAAAGGTTAAGTAAATGAAATAATGACCAGCCCTAAATGTGACGTTAAGTCGGCATTTACAAATGATTTGCAAAACAACTCCCCAGCGGACCTAATCAACCCCGGGGCACAATACTCAGACTACTTGGTGGTTGTCTAAAAAGATAAAGCCCGTACTTTTCAGGGGAGCACACTGGGAAGAAGGGCGCCTCGGGGAAGTAAGGAGCTGCTCCAGACCCCAAGACCCATGGGATCCCGACCCGAAAACAGCCTCATTAAGGGTGTTATATCCACAGGACTTGTCACCCCAACTTTCCACTCCTAAAACCTAAGAGGGAAGTTAAAGGGGTGCTGGGGTGACAGGGAAAAGTATAACCCCCGATTTTCTATGCTTGGGACCCAGAAAAATGCAATTGGCAAGTGAAACGGAGACAGGGCCACCGGGCACGCGACGCGTAGGGGGCATAAGGGGGAGTGGGTGGTATCTGTGCTGGGCGTCCAAACCCACAAACCCAAGAGAAGAGAGAAGAGAACAATCGGGGTGATGGAGAAATGCAGATCCAGGCACCGGGGTGTGTCAGGACTTGGGGTCCGGGGAGAATGAGCCTCCTTCGGGGCTGGAGGGCTCCAGGCGAGCTCGAAGCGGGTTGTGGAGGCGACAGCCGTCAGGCAGCGCCAGCGCACCGGGCATGTTCCCAGAGACCTTCTCCATTGGAATGCCCGGCCCGGGCAGCAAGGGGCAAGGCGAGCTGGGGCCCCCGGCCCTGGTCTCCCGAACAAAGCCGGCGCGCGCGGGGCCTGGCTACTCACAACAAGAAGCTCATGTCGGCCGCGGCGTGGGCTGGGGGGCTCGGCGGTCTCTAGGCCTCGGGGCGTCGTCGGCGGTTCCGGCAGCGGCCAGGGAAGAAGAGGGAAGGAGAAAAGAGGAGGAGGAGAGGAGGAGGAAGGGGAGCGCCGGCTGCTCGACTGCCACAACTTGTTCGGCTTTCCTAGTTCCGATGGCAGGCTGAGGGGGCGGAAGTGGGAAGCGCACGGCCCGAATCACTCACTGGGAGGGGAAGGAAAAGAAGGCGGGGAAAGGGCCACACGCCTGCTCCCCGTAGAACAGCCGCCACGGCTGCTGAGCTGCTCGCCGCACCTGCCCGTACTCCTCCTCTTCTTCCTCCTCCTCCTCTTCCCCCTCCGAACCCCTAGCCCCCCGCGGCCCTCACGCCGCGAGCTCTCGCGAGAGCGGCGCACGCCCACCCTCCTCCTCCCGCTGTGGCCGTGGGTCAGCCAAGTTCTGGACATCTTTGCAGCCCCGGGCCATGCCCGGCGAGTACACTGGAGCCATCAGGCCAGTGAAGGCCAGTCCACCCAGTTGGGGGTCGTGGCAGAGCCCTCCGAACTGCTTAGCTGGGTTTCAGCAGTCAGGAAGGAAGTGGGCTTCAACTCTGGGATGTCAGGGTTCTGCAGTGAGGGATGGAATTGCCACCAGAGTTCTGCCCGCTGCAAGTGTTCCGCAAAGGATGATGAAAGGTTATGGAGTCTCTTTGCTAGTAAATAAAAACAGAAGGAAGTTTAACGTGTTTGGAATGGTTTGGGTGTGGTTCGGCCAGAAGAGAGAAAGTCTAAATCAAGCTCCCTGTCGTTTTATGGTTGTATCTTAAAACCCTGAACTACGAGAGGTCAGGGTCCATCAGTGTTTCGACAGGCAAGTTAGGCTGTCATCAGTAGCTGGGAAAACTGCTGTAGTGACATATTCAAGGTATGTGGAGCATTCTTAAATAGATTATAAAGCCTGGCCCTGAACCCCTTAACTCCGAAATGCAGGACTCTCTATAAAGGATACTGAATCAGCCTCTAGAATGTTTTGTGCAGCAGAAGGTCCAATGGTTATAATGGTCTTGGGCCCCATAAATGCTTAATCAGCATTGCCGCTGATGAGCAGCCTACCACAACATTATCAATTCGAGTACCCATTTATTTTACACAAGAGATGTCCATCTTCTTTATTCACAACATGCATCAAATCCACAAGTAAGTTTTCAAAGTATCTGAACAAAACTTGAATAATGTACAGCTATTTGGGGTGCCTGGGTGGCTCAGTCAGTTGAGCGTGTCTGCCTTCGGCTCAGGTCATGATCCCAGGGTCTTGGGATTGAGACCCCCCCCCCCACCATCGGGGCTCCTGCTCAGTGGGAAGCCTGCTTCTCCCTCTCCCAGTCCCCCTGTTTGTGTTCCCTCTCTCGCTGTGTCTCTCTGTCAAATAAATAAATAAAATCTTAAAAAAAAAAAAGAAGTAACAATCTGAAATATATTCTGAGAGGTTTGTGCAGTATTAGTTCAGTATGTCAGTAAATGAAACCGCTTTTTTTAAACAGAAGGAAATATTGGATTCTTGACATTATCTCGGAAATAGCAGAGGTCACTGAAGTAATTTGAGAAGACTTAAAGACTCAAAAGATGGAGGAAAGAAGGGGGAGAAAGGATTTATCTTAATATAGTGAAAATAATGGATTTATGACAAAAGCCCAGATCTTGATTTGGTACTACTAATTTACTATTTAATTCCTTGAGGGTCTTCTGAAAGTAAAACTTGAATTACCAGATTAGGAAATTATGTTTGGGAAGAGTAAATCAGTTAACCTGTTAGAACAACAGTCTCACCCCTGTTAAAATGAGGGCCTTGGATTATTACATGATCTGTAAGATATCCTCCAGTTCTAAAATTCTGTCATGTCAGGGGTATCCTTCAAATGACTGGCAGACAGTTCCCATCTGCTCCCTGATTTGGTAACTGGCTTATGTAGCTTTGCTCTAACACAATTTAGATGAATTCTATTGGAATTATTTATTTAT